AAAGCGGTTCCCAAAGGAGTCACTGACATTATGATCTCCTTCAAAGAGATGCTAACTTTCACACTGGTATCTACCCAAACTCATCTTAGCTGCTCTGCAAATTTCATTCTCATGAGCATCTAAAATGGCTAAAGGAGATATGTCTGATTATATATAAGATTATATATAAGATAATTTAGTTTCATAAGAAAGAGGAAATTAAAAGGAAAATAAGCGAAGAACCAGGAGTTAAAAAAATTACTGAAAGATACAGAAAAAATGGGACTCCTGACAACCATAACCATTTCAGACCATCAAACCTGTCACCATCAGATAAACAGTCTTTAAAGCTTTCATCTTTGAGAGAGAGGAGAAAATCAAGCTGCTTCAGATCTGAAAAAATCTGCAGCCCATCCTTCCACTGTGAAAAGACCACTCAACACTGAGTATGAAAGGATGTGTAGCTGATAAAAAGCCCTTAGAGGAAAAAAAATTGGCAAAAAAGAAAGAATTTGCACTAATTCACTGGAACTGGACACCTGAGATGTGGACGATTTTATGAGTCAATGAGTCTAAATTCGTTAATGAGATTATTTGGATTGTGAGAAGAAAAAATGCAACCAACGTCTAAGACTGAACTTTGGAGGTGTGTAAAAATATCCCTGCGGATTTTTTTGAAAAACTGAAAATGAGTCTCTGAATAAATTTGAGCTGTAATAAAGGCAAAGTCTGGACACCCTAAACAGTTGAAAAGCTTTCAATTAAAGGCTTTTTCTGACTGGACTTTTGGACAGTACTGTGCAATATACATGACGTAAAGAGTTTTATTTTGTTAACTTTAACAATAATTCAACACTGGCTATTGAGCAAGTACTGTTTAGTTCAGGAGTGGATGGGGGAATCAGGTGGACCTGATCAGAATTGCAATAAAATGAGAATCTGCAAGGTAAATTCATTAACAATCAGTTACTGCTCACAATATCGCTATGCTCATTTAGTCAAACCTCTGTGTTCTATCTCACCATCTGTCATCTCTTGAAAAAACTAAAATCTTTGTTTACTTTTGCAACTTTTTTGCAACATTGGTGATGCTTCCACTTTTGTCCTGTAGTGCATTTCAGAGCTGATGTGTACATCATCTTTCAGTACTGTTTATGTAATAGGTTTTCATCAGGATATGAAATAAAATGACTGATTCTAGATCAGCACACAGAGTTTTGATTGGTTCTTTCATTCTGATGTGTAATCTAAGGGTGTAATACATTCAGAAGCAGTCTAAAGTACTGAAGTACTGGTCCTATGTGGCATTTTTACCCACTGAGTTCTCTAGAAGCACAACAGAAATCACTGGCAGCTGAATGTGGGGGTATTTGTGCACTTATGTGTGCACATTTAAAAAAAAATCCCAAACGTTTGAAAAATTCAACACCGTTATCCATTCTGACTGCATTTTGGGAGAAACTTTTAGAAATGCTAAAAGAGTTTAAAGATCAAATGGTCAGTCCTGGGCAGCACATCATATGAAATTAAATAGTCCTTATCTGAAGAAAGTGCAAGAAAGAACTACAATGCTGAATATAAAAATCATTTATACCCGTCACTGCTAGAAAAACAAGTAAACAGTGCACAGATAACGACCTGCAGACCCCAAAAAGAAAATGAGAGGTGCAACAACAAAGCAAACCTCTTAAAAAGAGACATGAGAAACTCTGCTTATCTAAAAAAGCAACAAATAGTAAGCAAGACTAGTGAAATAATAAGGAACATAAAAACCCGACATTAACTAAATTAGCGCAGCCTAGTGAAGTGATTAATGTAATCTAATGGTATTATGGACAAACCTACATTTGTCTAGGTGTCAATATTTGACCCTGTTTGATCCCGTTTGGTGCAGATTCACTGAGGAGAGCGGGTCATTGTGCAGGAACTTTGCTCCACTGAGCGGTTTCATTACATTGATTGGCCCGTTAAGATTAAATGGCTAATTAAATGAGAAGTCAGGGTCGTGTGGGAGCTGTGGGGAGGTGTGGCCTTTCATTGATTCACCGTGTGTGTATGTGCTCCTCAGCAGATGTACGAGAGAACCTTCTAATCAAACATCAAACCGCATTAGATAAACTACACAGATGAACAAGCAAATGCGCACTCGTTTTCTGTATAACTGTTTCCATGTTACTTTTCAGCTAATTACTAAATACCTGCAAAGGTTTTGGTATAAGACAGTAGTGAGGCTCACAGCAAATTGTTCAACTGTTCTAGCAGAAAGTTTTTAAAGTTTCATCACACAGGCGAATGGTATCAGGAATGCTTATATATTCGGCATGAACTGAAAGCTGATATGAAAACAAAATGTGCTCAATATCACTTAAGCAATATAGTGTGACAGGGAGTGTGTTATCATGAATGAATCATGACATAATTACTGTGAGCTGTGTCTGTTGTGTTTCCCAAGTAGGGAAAATGTAAAAATGTAAATGTGGCAAAAAGGGCAAACACTTTACTTTGCTGGTGTTGTAGTACTCTCAGTACTCTTAGTGCTGTAGTAGTCTTGGTCTTGAGGCCATAAATTAGCGGTCTCTGTCTTGTCTCGGTCTCTGGGTAAAGTGGACACAGAAATTGGTCTCGAGACCAGCTGAGTGAGTGTCTCCGTCTGAGGTTACTGAACTTTTCTTCTATCACTATTGAATATCAACAAAACCTTCAAATAGAATAAAATAGTCCTTTCTGTACATGTTAAAAATAAATCTGTTATAAAATCTGTTCGTTGCCGGTTGAAGATCTAATTGATCCTTTCCATGATGGCTTAACTGAGTATTACTTTTTTGTTTATGTTCATTGATTCCAAAATTCAAACATCTCCTGAGGGCAGATTGGAATGTTGTTATTACTGTGTATTCATTTAATAATAATAAAAATGGATGTACGCTGACTTTAGGTGGCGATTCTGAATATATTCAGAGAGGTTGGGACAGAGAATAACAGATCATCATTTGCACTAAGACTAATATAATAGTAATTAACAATTTTAGACTACAGAGTATTCAATGTTATATTTTACAAAACACATGATAAAAGATTAGTTGTTAATATATATATTATGTATAATAAATGATGATGAACGTACAATGAACTACAAACAATTACATTTTTTCTCCTTTGTGATTTTATGTTTATTTTCTGAAAAATCTTAATCTATTATTAATGCTGTCTTTCAGATCAAGACTGAAACTGCTATGTTGCGTTAATGTTTTGTGTTTGCGTAAAAATTATTGTTTTATATTATTTATATGAATTGTTCTTTCACTTATTTTTTTTTTATTAAAAATGTGTTTAACCAGGATAGTCACATTGAGATTTAAACTTCTCGAGTTGACTATCAGAACTTTTGTCTCTATTTCCTTTTCTCAGTTAGGGCTTCATTGCATTTGATTGTCTTCTCACAGTGGAAGGATGGACAGAAACACCTGGGGATTTTTTTTAGATCTGAAGAGCTTGATTTTCTTCTATGGCTCAAAGATGAAAGGTTTAAGTACTGTTTATCTGATGGTAACAGTTATGGTGGTCTACCAGGTTTTGCATGGTTGTTAGAAAAAAAAATCTGTTTTCCACTCATTTTCCTAATGTCCTAAACCTACCACTCTAATCCTAACCTTAACCTCAACCCAAAGCCAAAACTTACTCACTCTAATCCTAGCATCATAACATCAACCCAAAACCTAAATCTAACACTCACTTTACCCTTGACCTCAACACAAAACCAAAATCCTTAACCATCACAATCCCATCAAAACAAACTATGATCAAAATGTGCGTTGCATGGGGTTCCCAAAACTGTGACTGACTGCATGGCCATTACATGATCTAGAACAAAAAATAAGAATTTAGTTATGAGGTCACAACACTAGATGTTTGTGACACTTATGCCAGTGTAATGCAACTAATGTTTATTATACTTTATTGGTATACTCTCAGTAAACATTAGTCACTAACTATATATTGTGGCACGAGTGAAGGCGATGTGGGAAACATAACACTTTAAGTGTATGCTCTCAGTGCTATGTATCTCACTTCTGACACCAATGTGGTACCTAACGCCACAATATTACTGTTCCAGAGTTTATGTGTGGAAAGCATTCTTTACTGAATGTTCTTTTTTCTGGATACTCTGCTCAAAATCCACCTACACATCAATGAAAAGCTGGTGAAGTCCCACATATCACAGTACTGGCCAAGTTATTACCCTCAGAAAAAACAAAAAACAAAAAAAAAAACAGAACAATCACTAGTCAAGTGCTTTGCAATACACACTGGGGGATTTCAATAATGCTGAAAGTGTTTAATGCTGAAAGTGTTTAATGCCCTTATCATTTTGCTTGTTTCTTTATATTCAAGTTTTTATTTAATGCGCAATAAAGAACAATATTAAAGACAATAAAGAACAACCTTGCTGCATTTTTAAAGTGAAATAGAATGAGCTGTAATAAAATGATGTTGAAATATATCTGTTCTAATACTCCAACAGACCAACATGAGCCTTTGTGAAAACAGTGAATACGAGTGGTTAGAAAAACCAAGACTAAACAAGGAAATGCATTTTATTTTAATTTTATTTTTTTCCCTTGAGTTACTCTTCTAGAACTTACTTCATACTTTAGCTTGAGTTAATCTTCATATCTACCAACTTTTTTTTGTTTTTTTATTTTTATTTACTAATTGGCCTATATTTTCCTTTAACCTACATATTCTTATTTTTCTGAAAGACATTTTGAAAGCTTGTTGAAATATAAAGTTATTATGACTTTCCTTGAGCTCTAGTTTGTTTTTAATCATAATTTTCACATGATCAGTGTTGCTGATTTTACCTATACCTAGATTTTACAATAACTGTAATGCAGCATCCACACATTCCAAACAACTAAAAAAAAAGAAAACAAAAACAGTGACATCATATTTCCCTCCCCCACAACCCACACACATATATATACAGAAGGGGAAGGGCCGCTGGTGGATGAATGTGTGATGGGATGTGGTGTGGTAGCGGTGTTAGCTGGGATTGCCATGGTGACCCGGAAGCACTTGGTTTGGACGTGGCGCTCGGGCGGGAGCGGGTTTTGCTTGCTTTAGTTTAGTGTCGTCGGTTTGTTTGCTGGGTAAAGTCTCTGCTTTAGTAGGGGGTGAAGCGATTGTAAGCTCCACGGTAGAGGCTAGCCTGCAACATCAAAGATGAAAAAAGGGAGCAGTCAGAGTGATGGAGGAAAGCTCCGCACACGCCTCTCCTTCCTCTTTCCTCGCTCCTTTCCTCGCAGTTCTACCACTTTTGAGCATGCTTAGGCTGTTGTGTGTGCGTTTGAGTGACTGATTTGTGACAGTCAGAGTGGGTGTACTGCTGATCAAAAGTTTGTGGACACCTTTCCTTTTGAAAATTTCAGTTAAGTAAGAAATAATACCTGAAGGTTTTGTTACAAACCTAATTTCAAAAAAGTTGGGACAGTGGGTGAAATGCACATTGACAGTACAAAGAGAAGACATTTAATGTGGTATCTCATCAACTTCATTGTTTTTTGTAAACCTACACTCATTCTGAAATTGATGCCTGCCCTACCTAATCCTAACTCTTACCAATCATGGTCATCTCTGATTTTGGCATGGGGACAACTAAGATGATAGATCAGCCGAGTCCCATCAACTGGAGCTTTTTGACAAACATCAGAAGGATTCTGTTTCTTCCTGATTGGTGTAAGCATCGCCAAAATCAGCTCAAACTGAACTACAGACACCTGAGCTATTTCCAAAAGCTCTCATAAAGTTTCAGCTCCTGAATATTGAGATATTTCTAAATATTTCGCATTTTCGTTAACGACTTTCTCTGTTAACTCAGATTTAGCTATAGATCTTTGAAGTCATCATGACTTTATTAGAAACTCCAGGTCTAAGCAGATTTTCTTGATGAGAAAAATTAATGGTGTTTCTGAAAATCATCACTGTTGTGCCATGTGGTGAAGTACAATTTTGTCCTACATACATTTTGCCCCCAAGTGCCACTGGCCCAGTGACTAGTAGCCTGGTGGTAGGAAAGGTGAGCCAGCAACAAGAAGGTCTTGTGTCCTAATCCCTGTACAGATTGAAAATACCCAATTATGTCCTTTGGGCAAGGCGTTTAACCCCCCCACTCCACAGGCTGTGCTGGTGACACTGTGATGCTCCCAGACTTGGTGTAGCTACACAGCAAACTGATACATTTCCCTTGTATGATCAGTAAAGTACCTTACTGCATAAGTGTTTTGTAGCAAGATTGGAATGACGTTGCATGAACGAAAGTCTACTATTAAACTTTAACACTATTATATACCAATACCAGTCAAACTACTGCCAAAACTACTTAAATATCCAAGCAGACAACGCTAACTAGTTTGTGTGGGCTATTTTGTCAAGGTTGCCAGTGTTAAGATGCCAGCTCAGTACACCACAGTGTTAGCTTGCATATCATATTTCGGCTCTTAACAACCATGTAATTTAGAGGATACAGTGACATTCTGAGGAAAAATGTACATATGGCAAAATGTACTGGCCTTGGAACATCTTAGTTTACCATAAAAAGTAACAGCGTTGAGGAAAAACGCCATTATTTTTGCTAATAGAGAAAAACTGCTTAGACCCAGAGTTCCTAATATGGGCATGACGCTGACTACAGAATGATGACATGATTTCAGAGGTCTATGACTAATCCCGTGCACATGACCATCAAGGCGTGACATTTACGCCAATTAGCCAGTCATAAGAAGCACGGAGAAGAGTTAAGCAGCTTAGTTTACAGTAGAAGAACAAGACATAACCAGGCCTTAATCAGGTGAGGCGCGTAACATAAGTTGCCACGCCAAAGTAGCCTTGGGGTGGCCAGTAGCCTCGTGGTAGGACTGGCGAGGCTATAACCAGAAGGTCAGAGATTCAAATCTCAGGAGTAACTGGGAATACCTGCTAGTGCTCCTGGGCAAGACATTTGGACCCCCAGTGCCCCAGGCGGTGCTACTCTAACGGCGATGCTGTGCTGCTCCCAGACTGGGAATAGTTGGGCAGCAAAATAACATAGTTTCCTCGTAGGATCAATAAAGTACATAACATTACAAGTGATCCACAGTTGTAAAACTAAATATCCAGTCTTAGTTAGCTGGCTGTTTCATGGGACAGGGTCCTGGTTAGCCTTTAACTATTTAAGTTATTGCAAACTGTCAAAGACAGTGCTCAAACGCTAGGTGTCCCTAAACTTCTGAAGAGCAGAGTATGTGTATTGATTACAGTGTCCGTGAGTTTGTGAAAGACAGCTTGGAAGCTTTCTTTGATGTTGATGCGGAGAGAAACGTGGCTGTTTTGCTCTTGGAAACACAACTACTGCTTTCAAACACCGTTATTCTTCTCTACATCTGGCTATACAAAGCTTTACACTGGTATAGCCACTAAGATAAGAGTTTAACATGGCCATTTATCCACTGGTTTCACTATGATATGAGTGGGAGCGCTATATTTATATAAATTATGTATAACAAATGTGGATTTAGGGGATTTTCCTCAGTAGAATGCCTCCAGGAAGCACACAGAGCCACCAGGGCAAAACATTTCAAAGCAACTTTGTGTGAATATTCTCTTTTAAGTAAGACTGAAGGGTCCCAACCTTGCTGCCTATGGGTTTCTTATACTGTACATGCTGGGATGCTTTAGTTACTGCACACATACCCAGAACTCTGGCTCTGCTGTTATTTGGCTTATCTCCATAGGGTATGGCTGAAACCTTCAAAGGCTGACTTCTAACTTTTCCTAATTTAGGATAGCCCACTTGCTGAGGTGAAACTTTCATTAGAGTTGAACAACCGGCGCTGCGCTTTCTGCAAGCTGGAGAAAGAGAGCGCAGAGATTTTTCTTTCTTTTTTTTCTCATCCTCGGAGGAACTAATTACTGAATGGCTTTAAAATGCAAAAAAGGCACTGTGTTCTCTTTCAGAGACATTAATCAATTATGATTAAAGAATTAGACACCAAATGACTTCTGCTTAGCAAATTTGGACGTGTCCACTTTTCTTAGGAGCCACATCGGACTTCTGCACCAACATCAGGAGTGTCACTCGGTCAGACACACACATACACACACATGTATATACTGGTAAAAATGCACAGACAAAGTACTGTGCAAAAGTCAGAGACCACTCTCTTATTTATTTCATTTCCAGTCAAAATGGCCTTTAAGTACAAGTTATTCATTTTTAATTTCTGAAGACATTAGATTTAAGCTTCTCTGACATAAGGAAGGGGAAAATCAAAGAATTTTCAAAACTGCTTTCAAAACTGGAGTTCAAACGGGCCTCGTAACAACCAAGCAACCAACCAAGCAGTCTAAGCAAGATCTGGTAGCCCACTGAAACAGTCACCATCAGATAAACAGTACTTAAAGCTTTCATCTTTGCTTAAGATCTGAAAAAATCCACAGGTGTATCTGTCCATTTTGAGAACACAACTCGACATAATGAGTCTAAAAGGATGTGTAGCTGTCAAGAAGACAGTACTGAGAAAATGAAATAGACAAAAAAATGAAGAAAATTTGCAAATCTAACAAAGAAGGTGTCTTTGGGATTACTTGGATTGTAAGAAGCAGAAAATGCAACCAAATTCTAAGACTGAACTTTGCAAGTGTAAAAAATATTCCTGCAGATTTCTTCGAAAAACTGAAAGCAAGTCTGGAATGAAAGCCGTGGACACACTAAATAATTAAAAAAACTGCTATTATATTTAGTTGTTGAGGCTTCTGTGTAATTTTCTGTTAAATATATGTTTTCTGCATTTCTGGAAAATGAATAACTTTTAACTTGTACATATTCATTTTGACTGGAATTAAATAAGTAAAGGGTGGTCTCTGACTTTTGCACAGTACTGTATGCACACACAGCCTTTTAATTATTTTTTATTTCTTTGTTTTTTTATATGTTTTATGTCTTCAAGCTCAAAAATTGGCTATTTCTGTGCGGGAGTCATCCCAACAAACGTTTACAGGAGAATTTGGAGGAGGAGAAGAGGAAAGGAAAGGAGAGGATAAAAATTCTACAAGGAAAAGTTTTTTTTCAAGCAAATAAAGAGGGTTAGAGGAGGAAACGTCTTCATTAATGAAAGCTTTTAGCTAGCAGCTGCACCGCGGAACTTTTCCTTTTTGTGATTTTTTTCCCTGTTTGTTTTGCTGGCGCTGAAAAACTGGCACGATGGCGAAGTTTGCAGTTTGTAGTCTCTCATTTGGAGTTGGCTAATCCAACCAGCCAGGCCTGGATCGTCCCCCCTTCGTCCCACGGCACACTGCTGCATGCGCTACATAGACTTTATTCTCTGTGGTGAAACAGTTACACCCCCTACCAACTTTCCCCTCCCCGGTCCCCGCCAAAACCCCGTCCGAAAGAAAGTGGCAAGGCAAAGAGGAGCTTTCCTCACTCTGATCGCTTTCATCTTTGATGTTAGCTGCAAACGCTAGCTAAAAACAGACATTAACTGACGGCATAGGGGACGACAGATTGTGTATGTGTGTGTTGAGTGTGTATGTCTCAAAATGTGTGTCTCAGAATACAATCAAAACTATGAAAATCTGCAACATAAACAATGTGATTTATTGTATTACTGTAAAGAAATGGAGAGGTCACATCCACTTTGTGTGGTGTGGAAGCCTGTTCCTATCAGGTAGAGGAGACAATGTTATCTACGGTTTGTTCCTTCTCTGTTTTTAGCAGAAGTATTGCAAAATACTAACTTAGCATCTGAAAATAGTGACTTTATTTTTTCTACCTGATCAGAATAATGACATTCTCAAAATACTGAATTGCTATGTTGAAACAATTACTTATTTTCTCTAAATGTTTACTTACTATATCAAAATAGTGACTAACAATACCAAAATAATCACTTAGCATCTTGTAATAATGTATTATCCTGAAATAATAACACACTTTATTGAAATGTGGCTGACATAATCTCAAGAAAATAAGTTATTCTTTTGAGATACATAGCCAGGGGGTGGCCAGAAGTGGCCAGTGCCCCCCTAGAATGAAGCATGGCCCTTTTGGCCACTCCAGTTATGAGACAGTCAGACATCATCAGTCAGCCATCATTAATAAAGCATCAATTATGCTTTATGGTAAAAATCTGCCATCAGGGTAATTACCAATCAGTTATGAGCGTCTGATGACATTGCGTTTAATAATTAGCGTATCTTGCTGTGATAGGCTAATTTGCTCAGCAAACAGGAGAGTGAATGTGCACTGGGTTTCTTCAGCAGTGCTGCTCTGTGAGCTACATAATGAAATAGGCTATTTGATGGTTAGATGAGGTAACTCAAAATTTAGTCAGCTGTAATCGTTTATCATGCTAACCTATTTCTTTTTACAGTTGAATGCATGCATGCGTTGTAGGTAAGTTTATACAGTGCTGTCTTGCTATTTTCCTAATCATTAGAAATTTCTAGAAATTTCTTAAATTTAAAGTGTTGCATTTGATTTACTTGTTTCAAATACATTTATACATCATTCCCTCATGAATGACTAAAATATGTTACATCAACACAGTTTTCTGTTTGAGTTTAGTTTCAGCAACAGTTGTACTGACGTAATATTTTATTTATGTGAAAATGATGGACAGATTTAATTAAGTACAGTGAAAAGTTAACACACCAATGTATTAGTCATATTAATACAGTAACACTATTTATTATTATTATTATTATTATTATTATATTTTTCTCAGCAGTGTGCCATCCAAATAAAATCTCTGGGTCTTACTTGGCCACCTCATTCTAAATGTTCTAGCTATGCCCCTGGATATGAAGTCAAAATTAAAATAAAGTAATTATTTTGAGATACTGAGTCAATATTTTGAGAAACTTTTTGTTATTTTGTTGAAAAATTTGTTATCTCAAGATGTAAAACCAATATTTTAGGAAGTCATTATTTCGAGATATTAAGTCAACATTTCAAAAAAAGAAGTAATATTTTGAGATATTAGGTCAATATTTCAAGAATATAGGTCAATAATTCCAGAACATAAGTCATATGAGAAACTGTCAATATTTTAGTCCTTATTTCGAGATACTAAGTAAATATTTTGATATGCTGCTGCCAGAAACAGAGAAGCAGAGAAAGCTATAGGCAGGAACAGGCCTCTGTAGGGTGGTGCTGCTAAGCAGTTTTGGTCAAAGGAAATCCTCCACGATCCAGTAGGAGGTGCTATAGGCAGAGCAAACCACAGTCACATGGCTCACTCTAAACATACATCACAGACAGAACATACTATAGGCATGTCTTTGTTTGTATTTGTGTATTATGGGTACTCAGCATGTACAAGTATACTCCCTTTCCACTTTATCAGAAACACTACCTTGTACTTCCACTCTTAACCTACTTTATGAGCTTCAATAGAACAATATAGGCTTACAATTAAAAACTGTAGCCTCTCTCTACCCTGTTCAGTTCTGGTCCGTTTTTGACACAGTGGTGTTAATAGGTTTTTTTAATACGTCAGTGTCACTGCCAGGTTGAGAGCAGTCCAACAACAGATGAGTCTCTAACTGTACACCAGCAAGACAAAGCTACAAGGAAGGGGTTTCTAATAAAGTGGAGTGTATATAAGCATGAACTTGTGTCTGTTGTGTGTTGTATTGTATAAGGACACCATCGCTGACATGAAAACACTGTAACTCTTCTTTTACATTTTGTTTATTTCTTTATCATATGAAAACGCTGGCTGCACTTTGCATTGTGTGAACACTTCATAATGAATTGACTTTTTCATTATGGATTTTGGTCCATTGATTACTGATATTCTTACAAATCTAGTTTTTGGATGATGTTAGAATTAAAATATGAAAAATGGGACTAAAATTGTAATTTCTTTCTGTAGTGTCTTTCTCTGGCACTTTCTCTGTTTTCCTACTCCTACAAAGTTACCGTTTCAGAGACACACTGTTTTCCTAAGACAGCGATGAGTTTGTTTGTGATGATGATGGAGAGCGTTCAGATTAGAGCAGGAACTCACCATGGTGCCCACGCTGTATGTGGTGGCAGGGCCGATCGTGTGGTGGTAGGGATCTGCTGTTGCATAGACTCTCCCATAGCTAAAACACACACACAGAAAAGAGGTTTAAACACTCCTGCCTCACTGTGAGTTGTTAGAGATGGAAAAAAAGACAGAGAACTTTAATCTCTTTGGCCACAGACCACCTGCTAAGTGACTAATAATGAATTTCATAGGCTTCTTAACTGCATTGAAGAGAATAAAGACATAAAGGAATCCGTGAGGATGTGGATGTGTGTATTTGAGGGGAGTTTAACAGGTGCAGGTGTTTAACCCTCCTAAGCTCCTCATCGTGTATTCACCTTGAAATGCTTCTTATTGCATTTTGCTACAAAATCATTAATAATTACAGCTCATTATGTACCATAATTTGCTATTTTTTCTCACATCCAATTGTAATCCAAAAAGTCATGAAAGATCCACCAGCTTATATTTTGGTGTGTAGTTAATGTTTCAACATACACTGTATATGTTTTACTGCATAACAAAGATTAATGAAAAAAAGTGATTCCAAACTTTTGAAGGGTAGTGCAAATTACATGTAAATATAATTCATTAACAAACTCTGTCAATAATCATGCAGTTATGTAATACTGTAATTTATCATATAATGCAAATTGAATGTATAGCAGAATGATAATAATAACTGGTAACACTTTCTTTGAGAGTCCCCCAAGTTCTAGATATTCACCAGGTAATTTTTATCAATCTGCAAAGTACTGGTGATCATTTTGGGTAACATGATAATGAGCTATAAAAAAAGTGTAATTAAAATGCAATGAAATGCCAAACAGGGTCTAGATATTAAGTGAGTAAAGCTGGGGTTCAAACTCCAAAGTGCTGTGTAATTATTTGGGCTTAAATGATATTCAGTACCAAGACAGTTAAACTAAATTACACTGAAATGAGAACAGAACAGATTCTAGCTACTGAACTGATAAAGAATACTGCAAAATAGCTCATAATTATTTGAAGTAAGAAGGTGGTAAGTACAAATATACTTAGACTAAAAGTCACTGTAATGTCACAGGTTTAGACAAGAAGGTAAACTGAAAACACCTCCATATACTGGGTAGTTATATGGTGTAAAATGACATCATAAAATACAAAGATAATTTCTGATGTAAACAGTAAGGACCAGTAAAACCACTGTAAGAATAGCTGTTCTCTGTTACAGCCCAGATTAATTTTGTTTATAGGTAACAGAAAGATACATACTATGTAATATTGACTCTTTTTAATTTATTTGTGCATTATCTTTTTACATCATATAACTACTCAGTACTTTTTACCCAAAGTTATTGCTCAGTACTGTGGAGACTGTACCACACACTCATCTGGTTATCACCCAGAACCTGCTTGGCATTTCAGGGTGATTTTGTTAGACCACCTTAGAACTTACCATTGTGTTAGCCAAAATAATTATCTAGTACTTCAGAATTAGTGCCTCACACTTACCTGCTTAATACCTAGAAATTAAGAGACTGTGAAAGACAGCACTAACTATAACTCGTGTTTGAGGGGAGCAGAGCGGGTCCCCTGCACGCATTTAAAGAAGGACAAGGTAGGTGAGAGAGAGAGAGAGAGAGAGAGAGAGAGAGGGGGAGAGAGAGAGAGAGAGAGAGAGAGAGAGAGAGAGAGAGGGGGAGAGAGAGAGAGAGAAAGAGAGAGGGGGAGAGAGAGTAAGAGAGCGGGGGGAGAGAGGGAGGGAAAACAAGTCGGCCTAAAGAAAGTGTGAAGTTGGCAAAAGAGAGAAAAAGAGATATAACAGGAGAGCAAATGAGGCCGACAGGTGTAGAAAGAGAAAAGAGAAAAGAAAGAGGTGGACGTGGTGTGTTCCTCTCTCTCTTTCTTTCTCTCTCTCTCTCCCTCTCTCTCTGTCGTGTTTACCCACAGTGCTCGGAGGGTTCACGCCCCTGTCTTTTCATCGCTGGTGGTTTGGAACTAATCCTGCGCGTTTTTCTTCAGAGGCAGGACAAGATGTGTTTCTTATTTATATATTTATTTATTTACTTCCTTCCTTCACTAAGTCCTCTATTTTTTCCTGCCTTCTCCCCCCCCCTCTCTCTTTCCTTCAATGCTCGCTTACAAATGGTGGTCTGCAGGGAGCAGATAAGGGAGACCAGGCCCGGGGCACAGGGCACCAAGTCAAGCAGGAATACAAAACACAGCGAGAAAGAGCGAGACCTTCAAATGTGTTCCTTGATTTTCACGTTCACCTTTATTATTTATTATTTATTTTATCGTGTTTGTTGTATTCTTCTCATTTTCATTTGTTACCTTTTTTTATTAAGCATTTTCTTTCATATATTATCATATAGGCAAGTTCCTGTGACATCTTTGATTTATTAGTTTGCATATTAACAATAAGAACTCTAACCTACATGACTTCTACAGGTTTGGCAGCATATGCTTTTTCCACTGCCAGGCAAATAAAGCATATTTGATTTGGGAGAAGGGGAGAGATGAGCTTTTGGGGAACACTGTGTCCTTTACATTAAAGCTAAAGGCCTGCAAAGTGTAGCATAACAGCAAAAATAAATCTTACACAGTTGAATTAAATCTGGTGCGTGGGTTTAGTGCTGCTGTAATGCTTGATGTTTAGCTCTACATGATTAGCCCTATTCACCTTATTCCTGTGCCCTATTATGCTATGAGTGATTTACAGAACTTGCTGTGAAGCACAAACAGACAATATGGTAATGCTAATAACATCCTCACATTACAGGAATGTGGGAATAAAAAAAATGTAATTATTCTTCAGTTTGTTATCGATCTGTCAACAGAAAACTAAACCTGCGTGAAACGCTTTAGTCAGAAGATTCTATCTGTAGCTTACTTACGCTAATTAAGTAATTTAATTAGTAACTCTATAATTGTGTTTACACTGTCAGGTACAGGCAGAAATTCGTCAAACAATAGCATTACATGTTTACTGCAGAAATCTGTCCATTTGTGTGTCCTTCTATGGTCGCCATGATATGTTAGCGCCAAGTTAGCAGGGTTATCTCAGAGGTACATACTGGATTTTGATGTCAGTTCTAGTTTAAATACAGACATTTTAGGTTCGTAACAGGCATGCAAGTAACAGGATGTCTCAGTTTTTAAGTAACCTTCTTGTGAGCGCTTGTACTCAAAGGCTGTCTTTAATTATTCAAGCGTTAGCCAGTTAGCTTTTTGCTGACCTACTCAGTCTACTCTAGAGAGGGCAAAATACATCCAGTTACAGAGAATATAATGTGTAAACTAGTTAAAGAGAGTCTTTTAGCAGCAACCAGTGATGTTTAACTGGCAAACTGTCTTTTGTTTGGATTTTATGGACCCAGCTTTCAAAAATGATAATTAGGCTTTTCAAGCAGTAATTATGAAGCCACATTAATATGTCTTTTGAAGCACTTTGCTTTCTTGAGAGGTTTACACTCAAAACATTCCTGTTCTTGCCATATTTTCCCAGCTGTAGTGTCAGCTGTAAATTGCCTGTTGTCTCAGAAAAGCCTCGGAGACATTTAATGGAAAATAAAACAATAACTTAACAAATAAGCACACATTCCTTCACTTAGCTAAAACTGTAATCAACTACACTTCCATTGCCCAACCGATATTATGACCACAATCTCGAAATGCAGTGGACATGTGAAAATATAGTGTCCATCACTGCCCTAGCTATTTTTATGTACATTGTCCATTTTTTAAAATTTCTTCATTACACATCTATTTTTAATTAAAACATATACATATATGTTGTGTGTGTGCAACTGAACGCCTGTATCAGCAATGGCTGTATCTTAAAGCTGCTGAATTCACTAATTAGAAGGGGTGTCTCTTGATAAATCCAGATGCCCTTTATAAATTGTTCATTTACACACAGCAAACACAGCAACTGCACTGCAACGCAGCATTCTCGCTTTACCTGTCCCTGTACATGAGTACTGTAAACTAACAATGTAAACAGAACGGTAAAAACCAGCAGCAGTTACTTTCGCATGATTAATATACTGTGGTTCACAGTTTAGTTCTTATAAATATTTGTGCTATTTACAAATGTACAACATGGTTTGTCAAACATATAATAAAAAATTGTGCGTGAATGCTTAGTAAATCAGCCAATGTTTTCATTGCTAGCTAACATTGTCTTGCTGATAACAACATTGAAAGGTAAGTCAGGAACATTTTTTTTTCCCCAGAGTAAAAAACTCATGGAGCATCCATTGGTTGATCCCTTCCAACTCTGAATGGCAGTTTGGCTTGGCACTATACTTAATAATTAAAAGAACAATAAGTGTGCCCCCTTCAAACTGCTCTATGTATATTTATTTTCTCTCTCATAGACCTCTGAAGTTGTGTCATTCTGGAGTTAGCGCCATGCTCACATTACTAGCTCTGTCTCTAGTTTTCTCTATTTCAGAAATAAATGGCCCTTTTTTTTTTAAATCGCTGCTGACGCTTCCTTTAGTTCATGATAATGCCTCAAAAATATATGTTTTGTCCTGTGTACATTTTTTCTACGAGTGCCACTGGATCCTCGGAATTAAGAGGTCATGTAGCAGTCAAAATATGAATAATGCTACATACATGACACAAGCAAGCTAACTCACCTGCGCACTGAAATGACACTACTATTAATCTTCAACACTATATACCAACACCAGCTACTCAAACTGCCAATGTTCATCTATCTACAGGGGAACCACAGGGGAACCTTCAGAAAAGGCCTAATGAACTACATGTGTATAATTTTGGTTGATTTTTACTCAATAGAATCATGTTTGTATTACAGCACTACTCTTCTTTTATTGTTAAGTTTTGGAAGGAAACGAAAGAGTTAAATTTTTGTAAGCCCAGCAAATTGGCCAATCACAATTGATTTTTCTTTTCTCTGGTATCGAAGTATATATAGCTTAACAAGCTCTCCTGTTGGTTAAGACTTAATGACCAGCCTAAAGCCTTAGACTAACCATCAGCATAATTATGAAGTGACAAAGAAATCAACCAATCATATTTTGATTTCTGATTAAAAAAAAGTGACTCTGGGCCAAACCAGTGTGTTGTTAGAAATGGAAAACAGCAGCAGCAGCAGCTCTGTATCAGCCTCGCTTCTGAAAGAGTCACTGTGAAACTGCTACAAGGTAAAATACATGCTAATATGTCTGTCACAAGCTTCAAGTGAGACATAGAATGTTTTTAGAAGCTTCAAATGTCCATGTTTAATCTACCGGCCAAAAAATGTTTATGTGAATCCTGTTAGCTCAAAGTGATGCCAGCAGAACTTAGCATTATCATGGTTTTTCTTATGTTTTGCTACTGAAGGCCTGGCTCTAAAAGTCAAAGTTCATCACTGTAAAATACCCCTTGTGACAAAGCTGACTGTGGTGAAGTGGCCAGTCCTACGACGGCAATTCAGCACACAGCAGTGTTAGCCTGCATGTAGCAATGGTCATATTTTGGCTGCTTAAAAACCTCATTATTCAGACAATCTGGCAGTCAGAGCAAAAATGTCCATACAGCAAAACATTTCAGCTTTGGAGCATTTTTGTTTACCACAGCATGCGACAGCTGCAATGTTCCAAAATGCCATTCACTTCTGTTATAGAGAAAACCCAGAGCCAGAGTTCCTAATATAGGCATGAAGCTGACTACAGAACTACGACACGACCTCACAGGTCTATTTTCTGTAGCTGCTGATTTGTGCACTGATTAATCTTACGTCACTGATAGGGCCTGATGGGTTCAGCACACACAGCCTACGTTTCATTCATTTCTACTTGTCTCTCTCTCTTTCATTTTCTCCCTCCATGTTGTCCTTCCATCTCTCTCTTTCTGTTTCAAACCTCAGGCTGTTCATAAATACAGTTAATATAGTCACACTCCAACAATATGTGAGAGGAGTGTGTGTGTGTGTGTGTGTGTGTGTGTGTATAACGTGTGTCACTGTTGAATAAGCTTCAGCTTTTAGTTTGTTTTTGCTCTCGGCAAAACAGGGACCCATCATATAGATCACTGTATCAGGCTTAGTCTTAGAGAAGCATTAGTGTGGATGTGCAATGGAAACGTACCTGTCGCTGTATGCAGTAGCCGTGGCAGGCTGGGCATATCTGTATGCTGCATAGCCCCCCTGCAAAAACACAAAAATATAAAATCGCAAAAAACATTATCCAAAACATCATAAAGAACATTCTGATCTCAGCATTAAGAATACATACACAGACATAAAAACAGCTTAAACTCTTCATAAACATAAAGTTTCAGACAGGAAATCTATACTGTTAGAAGATTAATGAGGTGATTATGTTAGAGTACCATTCATCAAAACTTCATTACACCACTTACTGTAAAAAAGAAAAAAAAAAAGTGTAGATACTGTAGAAATAGTCTGGCGAAAAAACAAGTGCAGACTAAATTCAAGCTTCAAGATGGTTGGTACTAATATTTTTAGCTAAGCAACACACGTTTGTCTATTTTTTTGGATAGTAGTATGTCACAATAGTATGTCCGAAACCATAAAAGCAAATATATTTGAGATTACTAAACAACTCAACATGGTTGTGTGTTGATTTAGGCTGCAGGCTGCACAGTGCTAATTGGTGGGGTATAAGTTTCCTTTACTTGGCTACACTAACCATGTAGTGCAAAATTAAAGAAACGAACTTTAGACACCACACACATCTTGGCTGATCAACTACAATGGGATCCAAAAATTAATTACATTTTTACAACAGAAAGTTTTAGAACTTTTGATATTTTGACACATAAAATTAAGAAGAAATATTTTAGACTCTGCATTCAAATTTAAGCACATCTGTGACACAGACTGTATTAAGGCTTTCGTACAAAAAGGTCAGACAGTTTTTGAGTCTCATCTCTTCCATCAAAGCACGTGTTCAGACAGCTTTCAGGTGGATTTGATCTACTCATCGGTGCCTTTTACTTGTGTGCATGCTAGCTGGAGTGCACACTGTGTGCAAAAATTCTGAAAAAATTTGTACTTTTCACTGAAATTATTATGCAGATAATACAATTTGTAAGGAAAAACTTTGCATTGAATTTGAAAAGAACAAAAGCATTTTCACCAATGGACTTCTGGACCCCACTGTACATTTGGCATAAGAAAGGGAAAATGTGTAAACTTATTCCTTTTAAAACAGCCTTTCATTTAAAAAAAAGTCTAGAAAAAAGTTTCAGCGTGGGAAATTTGAACTTGTAAAGTTTAAATCAAGTGATGTCATTTAGAGGAACTCAGCTAATTAGACCAATTTCTTAAAAAAGAAAGCGCAGAGAGTCTATTGTTAGGGCAATGATTTAGGAAGAGCCTGCAGAGGGCACTGTGAAACACATAAAGCCCCCCATAAACCCATAAAGGCTTTATTTACTCTCGCTGAAGGTGTACGAGAGTGGAACTGATGCTGCGGCGTGCGGAGTGTATGTGTGCAGTTCATACTGCAGCCCCTGCTGCATATGTGTGTGTGCGGTGGTGCAACTAGTATCTTTTGGGCACCAGTGCAAAATAAATAAATAAAGAAATAAATAAATGATTGCCCTCCCAACACAAAACTACTTTTAATGAATAAAAAGACAGTGTAATTTGCTTGTTTATTGCTATTGTTATGTCTCAAACAGGCTGATGATCTCAAGGCAATCCACTCCACTCACTAGCACCTAACATCAACATAAATGTTTCCAATAATCTGTCTGTGTATAAATTGCACCAATTTTGCATAATGCCTGAGTAATTAAATCATTATGGTGTAAACAAAGTCCTTCAGAACAGTTTGATGTGAAATGTTCTGTTCTAGAGATAGGAACCAGATGTCTGAGTTTAGAGGCTCTAAAATCTCCCTCATGAAAAGCTATAACATTTTGTCAATATAGATACATTGCCTGATGCTGGAGGTGCTGTTTTACAGAGTTAAAGGTTTGGCCTAAAACATATATTATTAAAACATAATCATGGCAGAAAGGCATTGAAAGGCAAACAGATTTTTTCAGATTGATCACTAGTTTACATCATCAACGTCACATATAAAGACCCGGAAGACACGTAGGTTTACTGATTGTTTTGGATAGTAAACAAAAAATGGCTAATTTGCATTGCAGACATCATAACCCTTGGTTCTGATCAGCACCACTGTAAAGAAATCTGAGTGGATAAGTTTCTTTACAGTTGTGCATTTCAGATCAAACCACTCTGAGTGACTTTATTAACATGTCAATGACTGAAATGTTCCTCCTTTTCCCCTTTAAGATGGAGTTAAATAGACATTAGATCTGTCTGTGTAGTGCTGATGGAAGCTAACTGGTGAGGAATGTAGTTAAGAAGCTGGATCTTTCTGTGAGTCATGGGGGTACAATTGTGTAAGTATCTATAAGAGTGCCATGTGCTTCTGTACAACCCCCCCACAACCCCCAAAAACCCATCCCTCCTCATATTTACGCCACTATGTGTGTGTGTGTGTGTGTTAGAGATAGAGAGAGAGAGACAGAGAGAAACAGAGAGACAGAGCAGTGGTGTGCTGTTTCTAATGCAGTGTTTTTGGGTGTAGTAAGTGAAGCTGTACTGCATTATTAAACATGGTGGTCTCTCCCCCTGTGCCAGGCTTCAGATAATGAGACTTTCACTGCGCTTCTGAAAGCTGGAGTAGGACAGTGTGTACCAGTCCTCCTGACAACTTCACCACCAAAATGGAAAAGTTTGGGTGGGATTAAAAAATAAATAAAACTTTTTTTTCTCTCTTTGCGTGTACAACCAAAAGCCAGCGCAACCTCCAGACTGAATAATAAATATGCTCATTCATATCTGTGGCATACTGCTGCTGTGGAATCAGGTTTTGGAGAGAGATTAAAATGATTGTTCAGAAAAAAAAAAAAATCTATCTACACTGTGTTCCCCCTTATCCCAAAACATAGTAATCAGCCAGGACATGTTTGATGCCTGAAGTTTGCTTCTTTTCTTTTGCACTGGAGCTAAGAGGCAGATGTAGCTAATAAGTAATGGAAGCTTACAGCCACCAGTTAGCATCTGCAAACAGCATACATAAATCATCACCTGCCGGAAATGGTTAAGTAATCTTAAATAGACTTGCTCATGTGGTTACTGACACTAGCCACATTTGCATGCAGCCTAATTATCCGTTAATAATCCGACTAATTGCTCAATCGGAATAGAATATGTCCATGTATACACCTCAATCTGAATAGACTAGTCTGATTGAGGCCATTCGGAAAACAATTCTAATCCGATTGAACGAGGAGGGTAATCCTGTAAATAATCCGTTATAAGAATAATAACCATGTAAATGTCTGCATCCGATTACATTCCCAATCGGAACATGTAAGTCCATTCTGTGCATGTACGTTAGCGCCATAGCGAAAGTTTATAATGTTCAACGTGGCGGGAGCTGAAACTGGTCTGCAGAGGAGACGAAGTTTATGCTTTAAACTCTAAAAGACGGCGGTGGGACGGGCGTCCAGCTTATGTGTCTCAGAACACGACATCTTCCTCTCGACCTTCTTTAATAAGTACATGTGAAGTACGTTTTCCTGAGTCTGATATCATTTTAAAGCTATTAAAAACACAAGCGCGCCAGCTAATAACTTCTCTCCCTCTGACTAAACTGTGATGTTCGTTGTCATGGTAACATCTACACTAAGTGTTACTCTACACATGTGCGTCATTTTGGATCTGATTACTCGTAGTGTGCATGTAAATGGAGATCTTCCATCAGACTGTTGAGTAGAGTGAGAATATAAACACCTCAGTCTTAATCTGTAATTAGAATGTATTCAATCGGATTGGCAAAAATCTTTGCATGTAAACACAGCCACTGTAATGTTGTTATCCAAGCCTGCATTTTGTTTGTACTTACGATTTAGACAATGCAGTTTGCACTAGTGATGGCCAGTGGGCAAATCTAAGCATATTTTATTGGATCAGCTATCGGCTAAAATAAGCCCAATCCACGTACAGTTTTTTGTTCCTTTATTTGCCGCAGAGGTGACAGATATTGTCCACAACCTGCAGGTGTTTAAATGTCTGCAGTGTAGGGCTGTTTTAAGTGGCTTTTTATGTGAACAAGGGCACATACAATGTGAATGTGCAGCTATTAAGCTTCATGTCTACTTTCTGCCACTTACTTTAAGTAAAAAGTTACCAAAATCATGTAGTCTGATCACATTTTTCTCTTTTGAAACGTATGTCCAGGGCCTCCTGAGTGGCCCTATCATTGTGAGATCATGTGCATGATCCCCAGTGATGACAAAGCCATCTGTGGAGTCCCACAGACCATAACAAGCCTCACTAGCCACGTTTACATGCAGCCTGATAATCCGTTAATAATCGGACTATAGAATATGTCCATGTAAACACCTCAATCGGAATAGACTCATCTGATTGAGGCTATTCAAAATACAATTTCTCTCCAATACACCTGTATCTGATTAAATTCCCAATCGGAAAGTACGTTCTGCGCATGTGTTTCACCAGTTCTACTTTGAACTTTAAAAGATGGCGGCGGGACTGATGTCCAGCTTATGTGTCTCAGAAAATTACGTTTTCCTCTCGGTCTTTTTTAATAAGTACATGTGAAGTACATTTTCCTGGGTCTGCCATAATTTTAAAGTAGTGAAAAACACAGGTAACACACAGCTGCTCATCGCACGCTGACTGGGATCATGGGATGCTTGTTGTCATGGTAACGTCTACACTTAGCAGTACTCTAAGTATGTGCAAAATTTTGGATTGGATTACTTGTGAGCATGTAAACTGAGATTTTCCATCAGACTGTTGAGTAGAGTGAGCATATAAACACCTCAGTCTTAATCTATAATCGGAATGTATTCAATCGGATTGGCAAAAATCTTTACATAGCCACTCTCTCTGGGTGGAAAGGATGACCCTCCCTCTTCTTCATGATGCTAGCCAATGTGAGTGTCTGTTAATGGGACAGAATTGCAGTTAGCATGCATTGAGCTGTCCAGTGATATTGTGTTGCGGCAGTTCAAAAAGATTCTCGCGCTTCTCTGTGTCTCGGACAAAACACTTGCTGGCCATCACCTTCCCAGCCTGGTAGCATTGTAATGCATCTAATGGGTGGGAATTGGGTGTGACTAAATTAAGTG